ACACGTTCCAATATATGGGTAAACTGTATAAATAATTAGTAAGTTCATCTAAAAATCAAGCAAGTATAAAAGTTTTAAGTCTCAAATTAATGGTTAATAAACAATAATAAATTTTGTTTGAACCAATAGCAAATGCTGCTTCTCAACCATTAATACTAAATAAATAACAAAACATTATCATCTTTAAAGCTAGTTCATAATAAGCTCTTTAATACAGATGGATGAAAATTAAGAATAAATTTTGAGCTTAATTTTGTTGCTAATTTTAAACACTGAAAGAAACAGATACCTATAAGAACTACTTACCACACTATGTTCAGCTTCTGAACAAGATGCTGTCCCACTAAGAATCACATCCATGTGCTCTCTTAACCTTTGATTGTTCTCTAACAATGTACAAAACTTGCTGATAAACTCTTGGGACTTCACAGGGTCCAACAAATTTTCTATAAGAACATTAAACAAAACAATTTAAAACAAAGCCCAAAATATAAAATAAATTTAATTGAAAACAAACATTACAGAACAATTCTGTTTATATGAATGTACATAACAAATACATTAAAAATTGGAAAACGATACATAATCATGATGACCATGCAGACTAAAGCGTAGCTCCACAAAGTAAATGTTTTTCCTCTATATCTTAAGGAACAGTAGCAAAAAATCTGTGTGTTCAACTACCAACATAAGTAATACACATTATAAGATATTATGACTTTTTACTTACTAGACAGGGCAACAATCCTATTAACAAGCATCTTGTCTCTTTCTTCTGACTTCATCATTTGAATTTCTTCCATGAGTGCCCGTACTTGATTGCGTACTCTGAAAGACAGAAAGGGATAAAGTTATTATAATTAAAATTGAAAGTATAAGATCCAAAACTTGTTTGGTAAACTATAACATAACCTGCATCATTCCCAAACTGTCTTTTCTGATGATATATATATCTTACATGTAAATAGTGATAAAGCAGTGTGGTTGTTTCCAATTTTTTTTTCATCCAGAAATATGTGAAGAAATATCATTATAAACAAACACAATATGGAGTAGACTAAGCCACGTGGAGGTTTTTAAACATGTATTTCTGAAGTTAACAGGACATCAAGCATTGTAAAACTATTGGGAAAACCTGCAAATTACAAATATTTAATTGATTAAAATCATATAGCTTAAGTTTCAAAAGTCTTTATGGGAAATGTCAAAGGTTACATCCACATGCCCACGACCCTCATAGAAAATCCCATCAAAGTCTGGACAAACATCACAGTAAAAAAAAAAACTAAGAAACTTCAAGGGTTCCTATTTTCACTTAAATACAAATGTATTGAAAGGTTAAAATGGAAGAAGTAGATCCCAAATGTATTTAACTTACCAGCCTCATTCATGGTAACATTTAAGATGTAGATTGTGTAATTATAAAACACATACACAAATAATCTACGTTGGCACCAGGTCAAATGTCCACAACTTATGCAACATAAGACGATATTTTAGAAATTACCAATTTAAAGAAAAAAATATACAGGGTTACAAATAATCTTTTTGTAGACTTACAAATACAATATAACACTGCAATAAAGTGTTCCTGCACTGCATTGATTTAAATCACTTTGTCCATAGTAAACATAAAAATCATGCTTTTACTCACATGTTCTGGCATTTCAGCAATTCTTTGAAGGCTCTGAAACATGATTAAAGAAAGAATTTGATCATAAATTATTGCTACACATGTCTATGTAATTAAGCCCATTATAAAAGATACTTGTGTATTTTTCATGTAATATATAATTCTGAATTAGACAATCATTTATTTGCAATAAATTCTAAAATAGCTAAAATGTACATAAAATATTTGTTTATAATTTATCAAGCAATCACCTCCACTTCAACTGAATAGTTTATAAAATTGTTCAAGAATTATGATTGATAATAGCTGCAATACAAAAATAAAAACTAGGATACTATGTTTAAATGAGTATTTATTGAACAATAGGATATCCACATTGTTTCAAAATATATATGATATACTACAATTATATGTATTGTTATCCATCTTTATTGTCAGACAGTACTCAATATGGTTTTTGTATGTTAGTGTTCGTGAATAGAAAAAATAAAAATATAAAGTTTTAAAGGGAAAAAAATTAGCTGTTCACTTGGGTAACTATAAGTTATGAAATACGAAACTTTAAGACAAAAAATAAGTATTATTATTCTTAGACTGAAAATCACCTTGCACAGTCTGAATCAGACTGACTTTAAATTCACAGTCAAGCTTATAATAAAAATACACTATTAAAACTTTTTTTTGTACAACAAACTGCTAATGTTTACAAAAAGCTTGCTAAATGTTGTAACAATACACCTGGTAAATTTTCAGTTATAGAAATATAATTTCATGATTACAAGGTAGGTCATTTTGACCAAGCCTGTACACAGAGTGTTACTATGTTTTATGCTACAGAAGTATAATAATAATAAAAGACACTAGTTAATGAGAACTTGTAGTGTTAGTATCAGTTGCTTACTTGACTGCATAGTCGTCCACAGTAGCAAAAAGTTGGTACAATTTCTTCATTCTTTCTTCTAAGGGTAGCTGGTAAGGCACCAAACAGGTATGTAGAATCTTTTCTACCAAAAGTCTTGGAAAAATTGTCAAAACCCAACATTACTTCAGGCAAAGATGAAATACTATTACTATTAAAGTTGAATTATTTCTATTTCTTTTCTTTAGGTGGGAAGATGAAGTTTTTAATGATAGTATCCAGTAATCTCTAGTCTTTTAATAAATCTGAATTATTACCATTTTCTTTGTTAAGGTGGAAGGATTAATTTTTCTTAAATAGTAATATCAAGTAATCTTCAGAACAAACAATCACCTGTCTTCCAATGCTGTTTGATAATATACATGAAGAACCTTATTTTTTATCCATGATATGCAGTCTAATGTTGACTGGGGTAAGTCTGGGCTACTCATGTTCTGCTTATACACCATGGCTAGTCCCTGTAATGCTTCTTTCCTAATTTTAAACTGTAGAAAAAATAGTGACTAAGTTAGTTTTCTTACATTACAGGGTAATCAAGAGTAGTTTTTTACAATCAAAACAAAGCTTGGAACCACTAAAATGACAAATTCGTTTCTAAATCATTCAATATACGACGTGTGAGGCCGAAAATGACATCAAGAGAAAAAGGCACATAATTTCTAAACAATCCCACTATTAATTTTTTAACATCTTTAGTCTACTTTACAATGAAAATTAATCATGATTTAAAATCATCTGAACTTCAACTGTAACAAAAAGGTTTTTTTAAACTGAAAAAAAAAGTACTTGAACACTTAACAGTTGGTTGAAATAGCACAAAAAAATTAATTCTGAAAACTGACAATTCCAGAACAAATAAAACAAAAAAATTGTCAAAAAATGTTTGAGACTTTGTGAACAAGTTTAAAAAATAAAATCTTAAAATTGAGCAAAAACTAAGAAAATATAATAATAATAATAATGAGGAAGAAATTATCAAAGCTTTCAGAGACCTAATTTCATTCTCATGATTTTACTCAGAGGGAAATAAGTTTCTTTAATCTCTTGTCACTTTCATTTTTTAAGCTTTTTTAATTTGCTCACAATACAGCAAAACATTCTATGTTTCTACACTTTCTATTTGTCCAACTGTAAATATAAAGGCTGAACCCACAGTTATTTCACACCTAGAGGAATACTGTACAACTTTGATAAGATCTCAGCTTGGGGAAGGAACACATCAGTAATTGTCAGAAACAGGAGATAGTAAGCATTAATGATACATAATGTAAATTACAATAGTACTGTGTCCAAAATTAAGTTACTTGATTGTTTACAACTTCAAGATAATGTTTTCATATATTTCTCAATTACTTAGGGATTGAATTTTGTTTATGATTACAGAAAGGGTTAATGAAACAACATCAAGACAAAGTTTTCATAGATTTCCCAATTACTAAAAATTTAATTTTGTTTATGGTTACAGAAAGGGTTAATGAAACAACATCAAGACAAAGTTTTCATATATTTCCCAATTACTTAGAGATTTAATTTTGTTTATGGTTACAGAAAGGGTTAATGAAACAACATCAAGACAAAGTTTTCATATATTTCCCAATTACTTAGAGATTTAATTTTGTTTATGGTTACAGAAAGGGTTAATGAAACAACATCAAGACAAACGTTTTCATATATTTCCCAATTACTTAGAGATTTAATTTTGTTTATGGTTACAGACAGGGTTAATGAAACAACGTCAAGACAACGTTTTCATATATTTCCCAATTACTTAGATTTAATTTTGTTTATGGTTACAGACAGGGATAATGAAACAACGTCAAGACAACGTTTTCATATATTTCCCAAATTTGTTTTATGGTTTCTGATGATGATGCTCATTTTATTTGTGATAATGCTTTTGTGCTATATTACATCTGTATGAAATCAACAGGAATATTCTTTTACGACAAAGAACGATAAAGGTATTGAGATATAACCAAGTAAATTAAACTATAGCCTACAATACCATGCTATCTGAATGTGAATTTCTTTTAATGAGGATATTGTGAAGTCTTTTGTGTTCAAACAACACACACAAATGTAAGATATTATTATTTACTAAAAACAAACCAGGATTACTGATCTAAACAAACAATACTGATGACAAAATACCAGCATGACTGACAAAAAGTAATGGTGTCACAATACTGAAAGATAAGGTCATTTTTCACCAGTAAATCTTTGTCAGTTATATTGAATTTGTACGAGTTAGAGTGGAAAGTCTGCTTCAATTAGCAAAATAAAATATCCAAAGACACATACTAATGAATATGAAAGATCTTACAACTGGATAGATATGTATAAAATGGAACTTTCTCATCAATGAAAAAAAGTATTTTGGATATTTCACAATCTAAATAATTACACAAGTCCTAAATCAAATTTTAGGAAGTTTTTCATTCAATAACCATTACTTAGAAAGTTCAATACAATTTAGTTAAGTATGTTTACTGTGAGAACAAAAAAAAAATGTTAGTGATACTCCTCCAGTTTAGAAAGGAATAAGAAGCTCTTTTCACACACTATTAATACAATATACTGATATCCAATCAAAGCAGTAAAAAAAATAGTGCTTATAAAATTAGAAATACCAGAAAAATGTTTGTTATTTATCTGATAAAATAAGAAATATTAATTGTAACTTCGAGTAGTGAATAGTTTCTCCAGACAGGTTTTTATAAAGGAACTGCAGCAAGACTTGTGGATGCTCAGTACAGGAGCACTTATGTACTGCAGGCTATTCACTGTATCCTCCTTTGTCTCCAGACCTCTAGACTATGTCTTGGCACTTGGACCAAAATAGAGCAGGACAAGAGAGTGAAGCAGGCTCTGTGCAACCCTTCATCATTTGACCAAACCTAGGTGCAGGAGCCATTACATCTTAGGCTACCGCCACTAAAAGCCCTGTAGCAATAGGCAAGAAGTGGAGCAACAAGTGTGGATACACAGAGAGCTGTAGGTTGCAGACCTTCACGTAGGCGTCTCAGGCCACGTAGTTGCTCTTCACTGGAATGAAGCAGTAATAGTGTTTGGTAGCCTTCTGAGTGCCCGAGTAGCCCACTTTAGAATTGCACTGCTCGGCTCCATGCCATGAGGAAAGGACGAAAAAAAGATGTCCTAAAAATTGCCTGCTTCACTCAAGTGCTGGTCAGTTTACTGCTTCTCATGAAGATCCCACTCTGAGATCAAAATAACTAAGATGGTCATGACATGTAATTAGCATGTCAGAAGTACACTTCCCAAAGAAGGTAATCTTCTTAAAGACAAATGATCACTGTGTCTAACTAATATTCCCTCCACACAAGTTGAAAATCACTTGGCAAACATGTAGCTCAAGTTACCCTATTAAATTATGTAATTTACGAGTTACGCGCGAGTTTCTCATGAGCATACCTCATGAAATTTTTTCTTTTTACCATTTTACCTAATCTATCCTTACCTAACCTAAAAAGTTTCTAATTTTAACATTTTAGTAACTCTTATAATAGTAAATAAAGAATATACAAGAAAAGCAGGATATATAGTACTTATATGGGTCATATTTTTTTTGCTCTTGACTGTTAAAGAAACTTAACGCTACTTTTTTATACTAATGGTACTACTGCACTAAATTTTTATTTTATTAAATAATGCACCATAGAACACAGATTAATAACATGCAAAAAGAAGACAATGCCCCATTACTATCACAATTTTTCTGGCTTTCTAACTATGCAACAACAGTTCTTAAAAATTCAGCTAAGCTAATCAATGCATTTCCTGTGGGAAAAAGTCTGAACTGAAAGCGAAATAGACAATCCTCTGTACAGAAAACAATGTAATAAAATTTGTTACTTGACAGATTAAAACTATTCTATTGGTTATAAATAATATAGTTTAAACATCAGAGAGAACTACTGGCAATTTGTGAAAGAGAGGATGTGATGGTGGGCATGGCAATAGGGGTCTGATTTTCTCTATTATGCCTCTGTAACCAAATAAGATTGAAGGCTATAAAAATTATGCTTTGCCTGAGTGATGACAATATTATAATAAGTAATATATTTTACATTACGTACTTCTTGGAGAGGTGGTAAATAAATTATAGAAGAGGGGATACCTAGAGAGCAAATGTCACAATTCTCATACTAGAGGAAACTGACGATTTTAAAAATGCCAAGTAACGGATGCCCGTGGCAAAATGGTTTAATGAGAAATACTTTAGCAAATAAGAATTTGTTACATTAAGTTCACAACTTCAAAAAGTGTACAAGATATTGTTATCACTTTACCTCACCTGCTTATAAAACATGTACAATGTCACTCTGTAACAGGCAACAAGTAAAAAAGTTGGTCTTTAGTATTTTTTTGTAGAGTACTTTCTATATTTTAAAGACAAATATATATATATAAAAAATATTTTGCACCTTTTTATCTAAGGTCCTTTCTTTAACAAAGTTCAAAAGTTCTTCTGAAACAGTGTTAAACTCTTTCTTTGCAGCACTGATAATGGCCATCACTACCTCGTACCTCACATGTTCTTCAGGGTCATGCTGTCTTTGTCGTAGTTGTTCTTAAAATACAAAAAAAAACAGATTACATAAAAAAGTGCATGTCTAAAATATTCTTGTACGCAGGACAATTATTATTCTTTAGCCTCTCCTGTAGTACGGTTTATTTTCTGATAGATAATAAAGTTAAAAAAAAAGGACAAATTTAATATTTCTTTACTTATCTGAAACAGGTAAACTTTTAAGTTTTAAGAGGAATACCCTTTCTTTATGGAGGTACAAAATTCCAAACTGATATGGCAGTACTCTGAAGCAGTGGTTCCCATCTGTCATTCCATGGACCGGTGCTTGTTCACAGACAAATTACAGCTGGTCAGTAAAAATACTGAATATATTATTCTTTTATAATGTAATTTAAAAACTTTAAAAGGTTAATAAATTATACAAAGCAGTCCATGATATTCTGGGATCCAAACTAACCAGTCCTCAGCCAGAAAAAGGTTGGTACCACTGCTCTAGAGAGGTACATGCATATATATAAATATGTCCATGGCAGTGAAACAGTTAAAATAAATATAAGAATTTACAGTGTAATGTACACACAATTAGCTATGACTGTTTGTTTGTTTGTTTGTCGAATTTTACTCCTAGCAACTCAAGAGCTATCTGTGCTAGCCGTCTTTGGTTCTCTTTGCCTATGGATAGTGGGATTGACCATCACATTATAATGCCTCTATAACCGAAAAGGCAAGCATGTTTGATGGAATTTAAGCATCTTTCACTTGCAAACTGTGTTTGTCAAATATTGTCTCTTAAGTGATCACAATGGTATAATAAATTCATTACAATAACATTAGAAGCATGATTACTGTAGCTGAAACTTTTTTTAAAAAAGTTTAATAACTACATTTCATAAATCTTAATTCTATATTTTATAACAATTTTTCTAGAAAAGAACAAATATTGATATTAATTCATGCTATAAAAAACAAAAGCAGGAGACTATTTATAAAAAACTCTTTCCAAACTGAGTGTGCCAGTGAATTAATGGAAAAAAAATCACATTTAAACAGAATCATATCTCAAGTTCGTTCTTTAGCAATACCGGTGTCAACCTTATTTTTTAATCCTTTCTGGGGCCAAGAAACCAGTAAATTAACACGTTTCAAGAACTGTTAGAGAATTTGTTTTCTATGCCCAATTAGAATCAGATATTTTCTCAAAGAGATGTGAAAAAAAGAAGGATAAAAATAGTAAGGTATGAAATATCTACTATAATAAACTACTATAAGGCAGCATCTAATGTAGTCAGGCAATGTTTGTAGTTTAATTTGTTTATCGAATTTTGCACAAAGTTACTCCATACATTTGAAGTGATACACTAGAAAGAATGCAGCTAAACAACACAATCCACTGCCAATTAAAGGACTCTACTCCAAACTTGTGAATAATGGAATTGATCAAGACATTGTTATGCACCTACAGCTGAAAGGGCAAGCATGATCATGGATGTATTTTGATCCTGCGACCCACAAATGGTTAGTCATGCACCCTAATTGCCATGCCATGCCAGGCCTCACAATTTAATTTGTACCAAAATATTACTTAAAAGTCTCCATTACAGCTTTCTTTTCATATCACTTCATAAGTATTAGACAGCCGACAGTGATAAAAATTGGAAATAAAATTGCCCCTGATGAAGAAAGGTCCACCTTTCTGGTTATAAGGTTGTTGTTGTTTTTTTTTACTTTTGAGTTAAATTGATTTTTTTAACTTGTGTTTTCCCAAAATAATGAATGGTTTATATGATTTCTAGACGTGGAAATTCAACACACCTGTTGATAGTTCCAAAAAAAAGTAAAAATCCTATTATAGTTTACTTTAATTTTGGTTTTAACATTTGTGAATACTTAGAATTACAAATGTACAAATATGGTATAAATACTAGAAATGTCCCCTACATAATTCCAAAACACTACTCAATTTTGTAAGGATACAGAGTACCTTATCGCGAGGCCAATAACACAGGCCAGCAATTTTAAACTTCATAAAAGTTTTTTGGTTTTAATAATGGATTATCCATAATTCAGCTACACAGATTTAAAAATTTATTTTCATTTTTTTTTGCTATCACATAAGGATTTTTTACAAATCAGGAAGATGCTGATTTTGTCCTCTGCTGTCCCATTCACACAAAAAACATGGAAACTTTGATTAACTGGATTGTTGACCCAACAATATACAAAGGACTTTTAAGTCTCCAGAAAGTAGCCAACCATGTTCTTTGTATTTGACCTCATTAAGAAGAGGTTCGAGATTTTTATGTTTCCTTCAAGTGAACGGAATGAGCAATAGGAACAGATGCATATATGTTACCCTTGTGAAGAAGAACACCTTTTAGACTTGTTTTGGAGGAATCAATGAACAATCACCACTCATTTGGTTCATAGACTGCAGCTCCTAGCATTAATTTGGCAATATTGTTACAATAAACCAGTGAATCTTCTTGCAAAAAGTATGGTACAAACTCTCACATGATTTCTGTACCAGTAAAATTATGTCCCTGAAGAAAGTAAGTTCTTAGTCCAAAGTCTGGACTCCAAAATCTCCGAAAAATCCTTTGGAAGGCCCAAATCT